CCTTTGGCCTTATCAGGAAGGAATGTGATATATAGATGTCTCCTTTAGACCTGAGCACTCCAGTCTTTAGATTTTATTCTATGAGCCGAGACCAATTGCTATTTGCTATCTTAATTAGGATTTAGTATAAGAAACACCTCTGTGATGAGTGTTGAGAATCTTTTAAAACAGTACTAAATCAGTTTAATGCTATAGCCATTTATAAGAATAATGGTATTAGGTTCTCTACTAGGGCCCATGACCGACCTAGGCACAGGTCTTGAACCAAATAGCAGTGCCAATATGGGTTTCAAAAAACCCCATGATCTGAAAATGGTTATTTCCCATTTTTTTTGCATCAGTATTATTTTTACTATATAAACAATATACATGATTGTATTTCCTTTCTGATAAAATTGTTTTTCGTAGACTTAATAACTGGTTCCTCTAATGTTCTCTATAACTCTTGCTATTAATGATTCTTCCTCCTAAATTATCTCTCATTGCTATACATTCTCAGTGTACACATTTATATTTCCTTTAAAGGATGTTTTTCTTAGCTATATCTCCTACAGAAACTTACTATATGAATTTCCATCATAAAAATTCTGTTGCACAGGCATTTACACTGAATTCTTTACTTTTTTTTGACTATCTGTATCTCTGGTCAAGTCCAAAAATATGTTTTAGAACTGAAACAAATTCCTACGCAAGATTTTAAAGGCATATTTGTGTGCCATATTGTCTCCAGTGTTGATTCTGAGAAATCTAACACCATCTTCATTCAGAATTTCTAAAATATAATCTTCTATTCTTCTGAAAGCATTAAGTATCTTTGTTTTCTGTCCTATGTTCTGAAATTTCATAGTCATGCTTCTGAACATAGCCAGTTTTTATTCTTTTGTTCTACAGTCTAGACCATGATTCTCTTTGCTCTAAAGACTTGATCATTAATCCCAGGAGATTGTCTGATATTAAAATCAGCACACAGAGGATTGGAGAGGTAACTCAGGAGTTAAAAGTAGGTATTACTCTTTCAGAGTATCCAACTTTGATACCCAGCACCCATATTAGGTGATTCACAGTTACCTGTAACTCTAGTGGAATCTAAGTCCTCTGACCTTTGTGGGCACTTGCTCGCACACACGCACGTGCACACGCACATGCACCCATACACACCCACCCCCCCACACACACACACAGAAGCATACACAGACTTATTTTTTAAAAAAAACTCCTTAAAAGGTAGCACACAGAGTAATTGACCTGATTATACATCGTTCACAGATGCATATGATGGACTTGGCTCATATTTTCTTTTGAAGAAAAGATTTTCTTCCATTTTTATGAAATGCTCCAGAGGACTGACATTTCCCTGTGGACTAATAAACTTTGAAATTTAAATAATATTCTAGCATTTGTTACCGAGTCTATTATCTTTCTCAAAGAGTATCCTATAATAGTAAGTCTCTGGAAGCAGAAAAATGATTTCTTCCATCAAGTAGGAAACTACCAAACTTTCCATTAGACTTAGATGTTGTAGAGGCAAAAAACAATCCAGGAAATATTTCACTCTTTGAGGATTTCTCCAGCACATCTTTCACACCCAACATCACTTTCTATTAAGGAAAGAAGAGAGCAAAGGAAATGGGGAGTGGGGCAAGAGGATGAGTCTCCCAACCAATGTGAAAATTTTTAGAGTATTAATATTCATCAATGATGGTATTTTTTTGTTCATATGAGTATCTTTCATAAAAATCAAAAGGTGCAACCAGAAAGACAGAATACAATATCTATATTTGTATTCCCCATGTTCGGCACAATGTCTATCATTCTTCAGATAGTGAATGAAGTTTTAATAGTGATTGTGCTGGCACTTCCGTCTGATGGATACTACTACACACTGATCTTAGCATAAAGCTTTGCTTGTGCCTTCTTCTTGCATGATGCAGAGTTGACAATAGTCAATGAAAAATTTTAATTCACAGAGTAAACTATAAGCTGTATATGTATTTCAAAGGTAAGTATGCAATACAGTGTTTACTGTATGACAAATATGAAAGATTTGCCAGTCATTCTCCAACTAGACTCTTCTCATTTTTAAACACCATAATGGTCAATAGTGCTTGATTCTGAAATATGTATTATGCACCATGAGATGTTTATGTTAAAAAGAAGTAGTACAAAATGACGCCAAAATTTTACATCACTTTCTGTCTATACGTCTCATGCATTAATATCACAATAAATGGCTTTATACAACTCACAATGATTTTCTAGGACATCTACATGAATAGTGGTGCCTGGAGTCTCCAGTAACATGAACATGTTGGTGTTTGAACACATGCATTTCGGAAGTAAAAATTCACATAGAAATTCACTTCATAAAATCAACACCCTAGAAATGACCTATACTTTTCCAGACCTTCCATATGAATCCTCAGCAGCTGAGCTCATTTTTAAATAAAACTGCCTGAAAGGATTAGGAAAAAATATAACAGAAATATGTAGAATAGTGCTCTGTAGTTTGAATGATACTTTTAAATAAGACAGCTTGATACAGAATCCCTTAGTGAAGGTCAGACCTTATAGAAAGTATACATTTTATAGCATGGATTTTAGTCAATTCAGATGATTTAGAAAATCAGGCTGGTATGCTCAGATGCAGTGCCAATATTGCAGTGTTTCTATTTGCTAATACTTTCTCTGGTCTTAGGTAGAATATTTACTTGACTATGAATTAAAAATGAATTTAAATAAGAATTTGTGTAGAAAGAAGATGAAGAAGAAGTGTTTTCACACCTACCAGGTCACAGACTATGGAACAGGTGTTGAAAATCTAATGATTATCATCAGAATGATAAGTAAAAAATATTTTGTCCAAAAAATAGACAGAATAGGGTCATAAAATACCCAAAAGGCCTGAATCAGAAATTGATGCCAGAGCTACACTACATTGAACCTAACTAATTTATAATCTCTTTGGGCTGATAAATCATCTCAGAATTTGTTGAATTACCATCCTTCGACATAATAAGAATACTTAACGACTTGCCCTGGTTGAATAAAATAAGTTAAAAAGACCATAAGCTCTTAGGAAAACAAAACAAAAAAACACTGTGTATTGATTTTTCAGATTTAGCTGGAAGTTTCTGAGGAGCCCAAACAACTGTGTTTCTCCTTAGAAATTGAAATAAAGACAGAATTCAGGCACAACCTAAACATAAATGGGGCTTAGGAATGACACAGTAATACCACTTGGCATTTCTTAAGCTAGCCTGTTCCTTCTACACTGGATAAAAATAAAGAAAAGAAAGCATCTAAGGCAGAACCGCCCTATTACAACCTCAGTTTGCCCATGAAAGCAGAAATGTTCTGGCCTGCATCTCAGCATTTTCTCCCACTTTCCGTAGCCTCCCACACTATAATGACTTATGCATGGAATTCAGAAGCTTTATATTGTTCTTCTCAGTGCAAGGTGAATGCCAACATGGAAAATGTGATGGCCAATTTCAAAGATGGCCACAGACCTCTGAAGGAACCAGAAAATATCCAGAAGGATATTTGGTCTGACCTAGGTACCAAAATGCTAGAGCATCTTCATTCCACCCGTTTTTGTAGGGTAGGACTATTTACCTTTCAAGCATGTGCTTAGCAGGAATAACTTGGAATTTTTAGTGGAGTGTCAGAGACCTTTTCAAAAGATGGGATTGAAGCCAGCCCAGCAGTTAATCTGGTTTATGGCTAAGAGCAACATTATATGCTGGCAGTTCCCGTGCAGAGCAAAAACTGAAAAATGTCTGCTCTTTCAATGGGAGTTTTCATTCAAGGTCTAGAGATTTGTTTTCACTGTAGATTGACATTTGGGTTAGTCAATTTTCAAAGGTTGACTTTAATATGGATAGAACTTGTTTGCTTTAACTGGTTTAAACAGTTCAAGGTAGAAGGATGGAGACCTGGAAAATCCTTTTATTCTGACCTTACCTATCTTACATGTGATTTTGTTGCTTGCTTAAATTCCTATGGTCCAAATTCTAGCAGAAATCTACTAACATCTTTACAAAGAAAAAGAATGAGTGAGACTTGAGGACCCATCCTAATTGTCTGAGGATGCTCACATCTCCGTTTGATACACTTGAATTCCTTCATGGGATTGGAGTTCATACACAGCAAAGACATGAGGAGACACGATGAAGCTTAAAATATCACAATTCTATGGAGACAATAAACTCCCTTGGTCATTTGAGCCTTGGTCTTAGATGTTTACCTAATTTAAACATTGGCTCACATTCTAGATCAATTGTTTTGAACCTTTACACACTATTTTAGACTTCAACAATACTGCAATAACTGTATGGATAGAAATATCCGTTCTAAAAAGCCTTATAACAGAATACATCATGCTTTCTTATCCATTAGTTGTGAGTTACTATGAACTACACTATATTGTTCTGCTTCGTTGTCACTCTCTGGGGTAGAGACATCGTGGTCACTGGGACTTGACAGGTGTGAGTTCTTTTACTAATGAGTTCATACACTAATGCATTGTGCATGCTGTCTCCACTGCTCAAGTTTTGCAGGACTGGTTCCCTGGTGGCCTTGGTTTCAATTCAAACCAAGCAGCAAATCAATTTCCTTAATGGCCTTTGTTCATAAAAGTAAATCAGGAAAGCAGGCAAAGCCAGAGCAACGAGTTAGTTTTTCCAGTGAATTTTATTAAGCATCGCAATCCAAATATTTTCTTAATAGAACTTAAAATATTTGGGTACTTATATCTTTCTTCATTAATAAACCAGTCCAATTGGTTTTGGAAGTACTGAAAAACTTTTACTAAAAGTACTAAATGCAGAATTTTCTCTAATATTAGACTGCTTCTAAGAAATAAAATCGATTAAGGCTATTAAGCAAATGTTTTGCATTATTTCTTACATCTGCTTCACAGCACAGATTAGATTCTTTGCCATGAAATATGATTATGTTAAAAATGTATCTATAACAGTATATTTTCACTTTTTTCACAGGTAATGACATGGCAGATCACATTCTCTTCCTTGACCCATGAATTCAAAATCCTTCCCCAACTTCCATCCCTTTGAGTGTCATATGGAATGCATCTCCTTGTCTGCTATTAAACTATGATGACATGTCTGTAGCTATCAGAAAGAGGAGCTGGGAAGAGCATGTGACTCAGCAGACTGAGCAGCCTTTTAATTCTGATGAGTATGACATAGCATGTCATCACGGACTGGCATCCGACAGCTTGGAGGTAAGGATGGAAAAAGATGCAACCTTAAACGTGGACCATAAAGAGAAGGGTGCCTCTGTGCCAGACCACTGTTGTGGGTCAGAGACAAGAGACTTTCCTGGGAGGCCAATGGGTCACATTTCTCAGGAGGTGGATGAAAGTGACAGTCAGGAAAGGGAAGAGCAGTTTCTATCGCTAGAGGCCAGCACAGAAACACTAGTGCACATTTCTGATGAGGATACTGATTCAGACCTACACCTTATCAATGACTCACAGATTTTAACTCCGAAAAGACATGAAAGAGACAGCCAAGACAGTGTCCAAGGAGCAGGCTCCTTCATGAGGACACTGTCCACCATGCAAAAGAGCCAAGATCCTCATAACACCTGGAGGATGGCTAGTGAAGCTAATAGATTTCCAGCAGAAGGAGGTGGAGAAAAGAAAGATGTTGAGGCTGTAGGTAAAAGCCTGGAGCTTTGTAAGAATACAAGTGCAAGTGAAACAAAAGATGGGCCCAAAGCAAATACATTCCAGCCTTTGAATGTGGAAGATGACATCACTCCTAAGACACTACTGCTTGATTCTTCAATACTCATAAACGATGTCACACCTGAGACACAACTGCTTGATTCTTCAATACGCGTGAAAGACGTCACACCTGAAACACAACTGCTTGATTCTGCAGTAATCGCTCAACAACGCAGGAAACCTGACTTCCCTAAAGATGACCAGGAAAATAATCGACACCATGTAGTAGAAGAAGACTTCTTGGCAGCTCCTAATGCAGACAGAGGACTGCCATTATTAAAAGCAGACTGCGGAAGCTGCCTTTTGCAGCCTCCTTCCTACCCTGGTGGAATGTCAGCAGAAAATGACCCGGAGAAGAGTGGGTTCTCAGAATATCAAAACAAAAGCACTCTCGAGGTCAGTAGGGAAGATGGCATGCAGTGTTTACACTTAAGGGGCCCAGTGACCACCCAGGAGACCATTGACAATCAAGTCAGACTGCGCAAGAGGAAGGTAAGCCTCACATGTAGCTCGTCTGGTTTTTGAAATGTTGTAAATATCTTTATTTTCATAACTTATGGATGGGCTTTGGCTGAAAAGGATGCACAGATGTTCTGTTTGGTTTTGTTGTTTCTACCCTGTCATGTAGCTTGTACAAATTTAAAGACCGTTCATTTGGTAAAACCATGAAACTATGTGAGAGTTGACATACAATAATCTTACAGTTTCACTAACAACATTGTGATGGTTTGTGGGTCTTTAAAATGCATTAAGATAGCACTCAGCATGGCTCACTCTCCTTGGAATTTAGTACTCACCACAGCATCACTCTGTAGTTCATGGCCTTCTGAAAAGGGACATGTAATTTTTATAAGAAAAGCAGCAGTGTGTTTAATCTTGTCTCATTTGCTTGGGCTTGTTTTCCTTTCCTTTCAAAGAGCATATTTAGTCCTTGGCAGTCACGTATCTGAAACAAAAACAAAATCAGCTTGAGTCTGGTGGGGTGGCTCAGAGGTTAGGGACATGTCGTTCTCTTCCAAAGGACCAGAGTTCAGTTCTCAGTACCCATGTGGAGTGGCTCCCAGTTGCCTATAATTCCTCCTCCAGGACACCCTGTGCATGACTCCTGCCTCTGTAATTCCTCCTCCAGGGGACCCCATGCATGACCCCTGCCTCTGTGGGCCTCTGAACTCATGTGTACATGCTTCACATGCAGATACACACAAGTACATGGGATTGAAAATAAAAGGAATCTTAATTCAGAATAACACTTTCTATATGGAGAGACAGCACTTTGCATGTGCTAATTTTACTTTAAATGTCATACTAGTACATCTACCATCAGTAGAGGCATCATTATGTCTTTGCCTTGAAAGGGCATGATATAATTATTTTATGATATAATTATTTTATACCAAATAATATATATATCAATATTTTATGCCAATTATGATATAATTATTTTATACCATTAATGATATAATTATTAAATTATAATAAATTATAAATAAATTATAAATAAATAAATAAATTATAATAAAATTATTGGTATAATTATTTTATTTACATGATATAATTATTTTACACCAAGGCCTTTTGAATTATTCTATAGATTCCCCTAAGAAGTCAAATAAAAAATACAGAGTTACCCTACATGACTGTGGGTTAGCACTGAACCCTTATTCATGATTTCAGGCTTCCTGTACAATTTTTTTTCTAACAACGTATTACTATGTAAACTGATGTAACTCTATGGGATAGTTTCTTCTCTGATCACTCTTTTCTGTGGCAGTTGGAGAAACTCTGAAGAAACTTTTGTGAAACAGAAGAGAGCTATTCTTAGTTCTGTCTAACTGGGACCATTCGCTCACAGTTGGAAGGGGGACTTTTCCAATTCTCTCTTATCTCCATACACTGTGGTTTTGTTAACAAACTAGGTCATTAAACTGAATATAGTCGTTTCAACTACTTGAAATGAACTCAAAGACGTTACAGCAAAAAAATCATATATGCTCAGACTATATTCCAAAAGAATATTCTGTGCTTCTGGAAAATACTCTCTCCCTTATATAAGTTGTATTCAGATGTCAGTCCCCCGTGAAGTTATTATGATTGGAATGCTCAGATCGCATTTCCCAAAATTTCCATATGTCCTACCAAATCTGTTGGAGAGAATGCAATAATGACACAAGGAAATACTAACTGACTTAGGACATGGCTCCCTAAAATAAGACAAATCTGGCATAACTGCCTACAGACACATTAAACATTCCTGCAACATATGCTCATGGTTGGACGTTGATATCAATATGAAGAATGCAGGAAGGAATCTGCTCTTCAGCATCCTGCTAAGGGCTGCACTTGGAAAGCTGTAGTTGTATCTCATCTGCAAGTTCTCATTGAAATGTTCTATTTTAAGTGTTTCAACACCCCAACGTGTTGCCGGATTTTTGGTTGAAATGCTTCCTTTGACATTACAGCCTTTGGCATGCCTTGGAATGAGTAGACTAAATGCAAACATTTAGGTTCAATATTTGTTATTAAAAATGTGGTTAAGGCATAAATCATTAGTATTGAAATGGGTAATAACTTTTGTCTGTTACTAACAAGTGTTAGATAACTATAAATTGAAAATTAGCTTAAATTGGGCCAAACTAATCAATTGTATACATATAAACAACATGTACAGAGATACTCATTGTTTCATGTAACTAAAATCTAAGAGAAACAGCCTAATTTTGATCAACATATATTTAACCATTACAAATTGTATGGATGCTATACAGCCATTAAGGACCTGGACATAGAGGCTTGTAGAAATAGCATAGTCAGTAAAGTGACGATACAAGCAGAAAGACCCAAATTTGATTTCCAAGAACACACATAAAAATCTGAGTGTGGCAAGACATCCCTGTAACCCCAGCACTCAAGGTCCAGAGACAGTAGGATCCCTGAGCTTGCTGGATAACTGGTCTAACCAAAGGCTAAGCTCCATGGTCAGTGAGAGAAGCTATCTCTAAAACTAAGATTGAGAGTCGTGGCTGGAAAGATTGCTTAAGGGCACTGAATGCTTTTGCCCAGGAGACCTGGGTTCAATTCCCAGTACCCACAGGTTATCTTTCAACTATCTTAATTCCAGTTCTAGTGGAACCAATGCTTTTTTCAACCTCCATGGACACCAAACATGTCCTGGTTACACATGCATACATGCAGATATAACATTCACAACACAAAATAAGATTGAAATTAAAAGAAAAATATTAAAGTTGGAGAGTGACAGAGGAAAGTACTCAGTGTCAAACTCTGGTCTCACCTCAACACATATGTATACACTGACAGTCATATGCACACTAAGAACACATAGATACAAGTGTATACACACACATACATATACACACACATACATGTATACACACATACATGCACACGCACACACACATGCACACTCATTCACACATACACACGCACACACAATAAAGTGAAAATCATGGCATTCATCTTAAAAGTTATCCATGATATTGTTCAACTGGAAGAAAATATTGGCAAATTAGTAAGTATAGCATATTCTGGCTTGAGTGAAAAATATATTTATAGATTTAGAAATTAATAAAACTATTTTTTATTTTAATCATTGTCCTATTTCTGTGAAGAAGCATCACAACCAAGGCAATTCTTATTAAAGAAAGCATTTAATTGTGAGCTTGCTTACAGTTTCAGAGATATAGTCCCTTAGCATCATGGTAGAAAACAGGCCAGCAGACCAGCAGGCACTGGAGCAGTGACTCAGGGTTGATTCTGATCCAGAGAGAGAGAGAGATCCTGGGGCTAGCACAGGCTTTTGAAACCTTAAAGCCCATCCCCATTGACACACTTCCTCTAACAAGGACACACCTCCTAATTCTTCTAATCCTTTCAAATAGTGTCATTCCCTGGTGACTGTCTAAACATTCAAATTTATGAGCCTGTGAGGGTCATTCTTATTCAAACCACTACTCCCTGGCTCCCTGTTATATGCTTATAACAATATCATAATGCAAAATGTTTTAGTTCAACTTCAAAAGTTCCCAAAGTCTTTCACAGTCTCAATACCTAAAATTCCAAAGTTCAAAGTCTCTTCTGAGATTCATGGCAATCTCTTAACTCTAACCCCTATAAAATAAAAATAAAAAAGAATATCACAGACTTTCAACAAACAATGGCACAGAATATATATTACCATTCCAGAAAGAAAGAAAGAAAGAAAGAAAGAAAGAAAGAAAGAAAGAAAGAAAGAGAAAGAGAAAAAGAGAGAAAGAGAGAAAGAGAGAAAGAGAGAAAGAGAGAAAGAGAGAGAGAAAGAAAGCATGCAGCATGAGAAGATACTGGACTGAATCAAGACCAAAACAAATAAACAAACAAACAACAGGAAAAACTCCAAATTCTGCATCTCTGTGTGTGATGCCAAAGCATTCTTCAGATGTTCAACTGCTTTCATCTTGTTGACTGCAGCACACTTTCCTCTCTTGGGCTGGTTTCATACCTGGGCTGCAGCTCTCTTTGACAGGTATTCCAAGACAGGTATCTCCAAACCCATGAAACCCAGGCTTCTTCTTCATAGCTATGTGCAATGGCCTCTCTGAGCCTTTGTACAAGGGATACCTCTGACATATACCTGGCCTTGGTGGTTTTCATTAGCCTTGGAGAAAAATTCTACAACCTATTTCTTGTATCCTTGATTCTGAAGCCAGAACCATATGGTAAATTCTGCTGCTTGATGGGAATGGAGTTTGGCCCCCTATCCAATTACATTTGTATCTGCTTTCTGTTGCTGATGATGTCCTTCATTGCTTAAGCTTCTCTTTAATTCTTGTTCACAAGTTGGAAGCTTAAGGCGGGGTGGGGGCGGGGGTGTCTTGCCCTGACGTCATCATTCCCTTTATTCCGAAATTCACCACCAGAGTTTTCTTTAAATTTTTTACTGCCTTTTCTCCTCAAGCTGAACATTTTTTATTTCTCTTTGTCCAGCTTGCTCCTTTTCGGATAGATCTTCATGCGAGTTATTAATTAATTCATAATTAATAATTAATTCATAATTAATATTAATTAATTCATATTAATAACCACAGGACACAGACAATACTAGGCTGCCTTGAAATCTACTCTGGCGATCACATTAATCTAAAACTCTTCTATTTAACCTCAGGCAGATTTTTAAGACAAGAACAAAAAAGCAGCTACACTCCTTGCCAAAATATCGCAAGAATGACCTCTAGGCTCTGAAAATTGTTGTGTTGGGACCCCACTGGCCACAGTGTCTACTCTGCCCTTCCCTTGCTACTTCTGGGATGGCCCATTAAGCCCTGCTCAAAATGCCAGCTGCTTTTCTAGTCCAAAGTCTCAAAGTCCACATCCCGCCAACAAAGGGTACAATCAGGATTATCACAGCAATACCCCAGTCCCTTGTAGTAGTTCTCTTAGTCACTATCCTATTGCTGGGAAGAAATATATGATCAAGTTAACTCTTATGAAAAAAG